GGGATGGGAAGGGGCCCCGGCTGCCCCCCGCCAGCTCGCCCAGCGAGCCCCCTGCCGAAACAGCCTTTCCGGGGCAAAACCGCTGGCTTTTGGGATGACAGCTCCAGGCTTGCTTGCAGCCCCCCTCCCCTTTCGCTTGTTCTGCCCCTGTTGGGGAGGCGCTGGCAGCGAGGCAGCCCCCTCTCCCGCAGCCGGCTCCCCAAGGCTTGGCCCCACTTGCCCGTGGCCACCAGCCGGGCTCAACTCGGTCCCCAGGAGTGCGGGGTGGCTCCGAGGAGCCTGGCTCGATAAATCTGCCTTGTGTGCAGGGCTTTATCTCTCTCGGGCAGGCACCATCTGATAGCCCCCCGCATTTAATCCCTACGCATTCGAGCTTTGGAGAGGAGGAGGGGAGGAGGGGGATGGTGACACGTCCTCTCCTGACGGGTGGCCAAAGCTGTCGGTCACAAGCAGGAGCTCCCGCGGCCTCCTCGGCACGGCGGCAACAGCACAGCTCTCAGATTGGCGGCGGGCTGGCACTGGCTCTCGCAGGCGGGTCGGCCGCGGTGACATCCCGGGCAGTGCCCCCGCACCCTCCAAAAAAGATAAGGTGTACTGTATCCGCCTCGGCTGCCAGCACCTGGGCGTGAGACGGGGCTGCGGTGACGCCGGGGGCCATACATCTTCCTGTGCCGAGCAGCAATGGGGGGAGCTGGCAGAGGGTTTGGGCGCATCACGAGCCCTCCCCTGGCCCCCGTTGCCGAGCGTGCCCCCGGGTTTCACCAGCCGCCGGCGTTGGCAGAGGGCTGGGGCTGCAGCGAGGGGTGAAGCGGCTCTAGCGAGGCTTTGGTGACAAACCCCTGGACTGCTGCTCCTCGTGCTGATGCTGGTGGGGGTGGTTTGGGCTGGGGGAGCTGACAGGGGTGCAGTGGGGGACACAGCCCGACGGGGACTGGGCTGGCTGCGGGGCCAGGGAGGCTCCTAACAGGATGGTTTCCCCCAAATTTGTCCCCCCATCACATCACGGCCATAGCCATCTTCGAGCTATGCCGCAATGCCGCCGCCATGGAACAAAACCCGGTCATCCCCAGCGTGATGCTGAGTGAGGGACCCCATTCCTCCTGCCAGCAGCCCCCCACCCTGCTCAGCCAGGCTCCTGCTGAGAGCCCGACCTCCGGCTCCCGTCCTTGGCCAGGGCCCGGAAATCACTGCCTCCTCAGCGATGCCTAACGAGGTAATTTGAGGCTTACCATGAGGGAGAGGAGCCAGCTGGCAGGGAACAGCCAGAGTCTGTGCTCCCGGGAGCCTGAGAACACCGGGGGAGCCTGAGAGAGCCTGGGGAACGGGCAACGCAAGAGCATCCCAGACAGTCTGCAGGGACTGAGAAAGCTCAGAGGTGCCACGGCCACCCTGGAAGCACCTGAGAAAGCCACCAGTGAGAGAAGTCAAGAGAGTCCAAGAAAGCCTGGAGAAACTGGGTGAAAAAGGCTCCAGGGAGATTGCAAGAGAGCTCAAGCAATGCCGAGAGCCCCAAAGAGACCAGGAAAGCCCAGGTGAATCCAAGAGGGCCCCAGAGGGCTGAACCAAGGGAGCCCAGAGGAAGCCAGGAGGGCCAGAGGCCAAGAAAAAATGCTGGGAAATCCGAGAAAGACGAAGCGGGGATGTTGGCACAGCGGCTGGTAGCAGCCCCGCAGCAGCCCGCGGGAGAGGGGCACAGCCGGGCTGCGATGGAGGCGGCGGGAGCGGGGGGAACGCGGTGAGGTCCCACCAGAGCCGTGGGACCAGCGGGACCCTGCGGCTGCTGCTGCCCTGGGGAGAGCGCTGTCAGTGCTGCACCGATGAGGAGGCGACAGGAGCACTCCCCACGGGTACAGCTGTCCTCGGTCGAGTCTGAGCGTTCACCCCCTCCGCTGGGCTCAGCCTCTCTCCATGAAAAATAACCCCAATGTGCCTCGTACCTTAGGAGTTATTCCTTTGGGTAACACTGCTGAGGGAGGCTGCGAGACCCGAGGGACACTGGAATCCTGGAGGGACCCAAGAGAGCCCAAGAGACACTGAGATCAGCCCAGAGAGCTCAGGGGGAGCCAAGGGACCAGCCAGAAGAGCAAGAGTCACCGAGAGCCCCGCAGCCATCCAGTGGGACGACGAGGGAGCCCAAGATGAACGGGAAAGCTGGGGCGAGCCAGGAGTCAGGGGCAATCCAGCAGCCGGGACCGAGCTCCCGGCAAGCAGCGTTGAGCAGCCCTGAGCTGCTACGGAGCTCTGCTCACGCTCCAAGGTGCTGTGGGACTCTGCAAAGCTCATCTCAGCCACTGTCACCGGCTCTGTGGAGCTCAAAGCTCTAAAGACCCATCAAAAGCTCTGAGTGCCTGCAAGACTCTTCCACTGAGACACTCGCAAACTGCTCAAAACCCTCCAAGCCCATCAAAAAGCTCCACAAAACCACTCTGACCAGCTTGAAGCCTCCTCCGAATGGAGACAAGCAGGCCTAGACAGCTCTGAACAGGACCACGGCCACGTTTCCATGTTGGCTCTGGGCAGGCTGCACCTGAAGGCGAGGGGGAAGGAGACCTTGTGGCACCAGCCTCATCCCGGGGACAGGGACCCTGCGCCGTGTTCGTTCACATCTGTGCTAGACACGGAGCTCTGCTCACGCTCCAAGGTGCTGTGGGACTCTGCAAAGCTCATCTCAGCCACTGTCACCGGCTCTGTGGAGCTCAAAGCTCTAAAGACCCATCAAAAGCTCTGAGTGCCTGCAAGACTCTTCCACTGAGACACTCGCAAACTGCTCAAAACCCTCCAAGCCCATCAAAAAGCTCCACAAAACCACTCTGACCAGCTTGAAGCCTCCTCCGAATGGAGACAAGCAGGCCTAGACAGCTCTGAACAGGACCACGGCCACGTTTCCATGTTGGCTCTGGGCAGGCTGCACCTGAAGGCGAGGGGGAAGGAGACCTTGTGGCACCAGCCTCATCCCGGGGACAGGGACCCTGCGCCGTGTTCGTTCACATCTGTGCTAGACAGCGCAGCCCGGGGGGGGACGGGACTGAAGAAAGAGGAAGGAAAGGTTATTATGGCGAGTGTGGGACTTGGCTCTGGCTCGGGGACTTTCCCTTTTCATCTAAGAATCTTCCTCATTGCTCCTGTCCGCAGGGTCGTTAGCCAAATCGCTCTTAGGCTGCCGCTGGCCGCCGTGGCTAGCGCTCCGGGGGCTGTACGGGCCAGGGCCGGGGTGCCAGCTGTCCCCACACAGCTCTGCAGGGTGCTGGGACCCTCCAGGGCCACCCAGCGCGCTGTAGCCATCCCCAGGGCTCAGGGTGGGCTGCAGGGGCCAGGAGATGCCCGCTCTGCCCGCTGGCAGCACGCAGGGCTCGGGGGGCGCAGGGGGGCGCGCGGCAGGCGATACGAACGGACACAGTCCGAAGGAAATCACTTACTGCTTACCCTTCCCACGCCACGGCTTCCAGACACATCCGCCTCCTGCCCAAGCCAGACTGTTGGCTAAAGTCTCCTAGAAAAACAGAACCAAGAACTCAGCCCGGGCTTCATTTTTCCGTTAGAAAAGAAGAGTGACAAGATGTTTAGACATTGCTTCAACAGTCCAAGCAGATATTTCTAACTGCAGAAAAAGACTGTGGTCGCAAGTGGTCACAAGAATTCTTGAAGGAAAACTACTTGTGGTTAGAAGCACTGCTAAATCCATAAATATAGTAAGGAATAGGTTTTGAAAACATTATCCCCTCAGGTTGATTAAAAAATTTTATCTCCCCTACAGCAATTGCATAGCTTCCTCACGTAAGATCCTGCAAGCCGCCTGAGGGAACGTGTAACGGTGCGACCCCGTGCCTTCCAACACCCATGCCGGCACTTGCGGAAGCCACAGCCATCGGTCTCAAAGCAGCCGTGGAGAAGCATCATCCCACCGCGGTGCGGGAAAGGAGAGACACACACTGACAAAGCATTTATTGCAACATAGTTTTATTCAATATTTTTATAAAAAAAGCTTAAAATTGTAAATACACTGCATGCTAAGAAAACACAAACGGATATACCATATTGTCATAAACCACGTGTCTTCGCATTTTCTCAGCATTTGAAGTTGCAAGATGGGCCACAGGTAGATTGGGTCCCAGGCGGGGAATGCCAAACCGCTGAGCTCGTGCGCTTGAAGTACCGAGGCTTGCTCTTGCCAAAAATATCCTCCAGCTTAGGTCTTGGAATTAGCCCAAAGATTTGGTCAGCGTTCACCAAGTGATAGTATTGGTGCGAAATGGCTTGATTAAGCTGAGACCCTACGGGAAGAACCACATCAGAGAAGCAGACTCTATAAAGGCGTTTCCAGCGCTCTGCTGAAGGAGCCCTTTCCCTTAGAGACTCCACAACAGTCACTCTTCTTCCACACCTGAAAAAAACTTATCTCTACAGCGAGGGTGCTCAACAGCTTTCCTGCTCGTTGCAAAGCTTTGAACCCCACACCCCATGGCAGGTCACCAGCAGTGCTTCTTCTAAGTTACTCTGCACTCTAGACATATCCCAAACCCACCAGACCTTGGTTTCCCTCACAAAAACTCGTTACGAGTGAGCCCCCACCATTCTTTTCACACCTTCGGATCCAAACACACGTGCAGAGCACTTTGGCTTAACTCCAACACGAGAGCACTTGCAGGAAAGCAGCTCCAGCCCCCCTCAGCACGCGGCGCCGGCGGCCGCCAGCACTGCTGAAGCCTCACACGCTCCTGGACTGCGCTCTGGGGAAGCCAAGATTGCACCAAGGGAATCTGGAGAGCTCCAGATTAAAGGAAGCTGAACTAAACTCGGCACCTACCATCAGCCCAGGCAGGGACAGGCTTCCGAGGCTCATTCTCGTCATCTGTGGAGTCATCACTGCTCAGATCCATCCCGTAGTCATTTTCATTTACCTTCGGGGATCTGGACTCCTCTGTGCCCTTCGGGGTCACTGAGCAGGATGGGGAGAGAGGTTTCTGGAAGCAGAGACAGCCCGGATTAGAGCAGGAAGCAGACCTGCCCCCGGGGCCGGGGCAGGCTGACCCCCAGCCCCTGCAGCCTCCGCAGGCACCTCAACGCTCCGACAGCGGCGAGACCAGCAGGTCGTGCTCAGGTCCCAGCATAGGTCCCCCAGCGAGATGCTGTTAAGACATCTGGGCAGGAGCCTCACGCTGCGCTAAGCCGTGAGTTGAGAGGCGAGTTCCCAATGCCACATGCCGGGCGAGGAACTCCGCTGTAAAGGGAAGGCAGCCCGAAACAAGAGCCGACATCTGACTTCCTAGAGCAGATGCACCACCCACACTCATTTTCATCCCTAGTTCAAAAAAACAGAGGAGCCAAAAAGGTCACCTATCTGTGTACGGGCAGCCTTTGATCTACACCTTAACTGGAACATCTATAATACTCCTACTTGACAGCTAACTTGAGTTGAGATTTTTGGTAAAACCCAGAACTGCTCAAATCCTTTTGGCTTTTTTTTTTTTTTTTAAAAAAACAAAACAAAACAAAAACACACCACAACCACAAACTGAACTTTCTATGAAACCGTGTCCCCCTGACAGCCGGGCTGTAGCACGGGACCGCGTGCTGCGGCAGGGACTGCAAACCGCAGCGCTGAAACAGCCGCTTGCCATCTCTGCGGCTTCCAAGCTGCCAGGCAGAGCCTGCCGGTACCCGGCCGGGAAAAAAACAGGGCTGCGCTTCACAGTGAAGCTGCAGGTCAGAACAGCGCAAGCCATAGCTCGGAGACCTCCTGGCTTTGTGGTGCGGAATCGGGCTGACGAGAAGACCCAACAGTCGTATGCAGTAGGGGAGCACCTAGAGGTGCTGACCAGTGAATAAAGCAGGAAGGCAACCCTAATTCTGCAGGATGGTTTGTGTTAGGGGAATGCAGAAATATACGGACATCTGTACAAATACAAAAACTGTCCCTGTGCTCAGTGAGTTTAACTACTTTCAACACCTCTCCCCTCCTGTTTTCTGTAGAAAAGCCTTAGAACATACCATGTCTATCTAAGTACTTGGTGTTTGCACACACGGCTCTACCGCTCACACCCTTTCACACGTTTCGCGGCAGACATGGTTTTCCTTCCCCAGAGCTCCGACACGAGTCACAGCGGGGAGAAGCCCAGCAGGAAGAAGAGGAGCCAGGCAGCCCCAAGACAAGAGAGTTTACCGGCAGCGGCAGTGCCGTTTGCCTCCCAGCAGCTTTTCCTCCACCCCTGCTACCAGGTCGGAGCAGCTCCAGCTCGGGCGGGCTCCTGCGCAGCCACCGCCGCCGCGGGGCGGCAGGCTGAGCCGGCGCACCAGGATGTGCTGCCATCCTGTGGCCGTTTCCAGCATCTTTTCCAAGACAAAACACTTGTTTTCCCTCCAGGTTCCCGCTGTGCTGAGCTCTCGGCCAAGCACCCAAGAAGACAGACATCCCCGTCCTCTGCACAGATGCCTGTTAAACCCCAACAGCCTACACTGGAGGATTTAATTTCCTGCTCCATCACTGACGGATAATAAATCTGCAGGCTGGCTCCAAACCACAGGAGCCAATTAGGCACCACAGACTCATTTTATTTAAGGGCTCTGCTGGAACCAGGACTCACCTTTACAGCTTTGCTCAGCCATGTGCCAGAGGCAGGAGTCAGTGCTTCTGGTTGCTTGATTTTCTTCTCTCTCAGCTGCTGCCGGGGCTCCTGCAGACCATCTTCCTCCTGTTAAGACGCAAGAATTAAGTCATTCTTCATCTCTGTTCACCCAAGCAAAACCACCAGACTGTCTCTGGAACTGAGCCGTATTTTCTGGGGCCCTTGCAAAAAAGTCCTCAGTCCCTCTGTGTCATCTTCTGCAGAAAAAACCCCAAGCCCAAGACTCAAAGATAAAGCAACTCCTGCCTTTGCTCAGATCCAGACCAACAAGGTCTCCAGGGCTCATGCTCACCTTCACCGCTTTGAGCCAGGCATTAGAAGCCACAGCAATGGATTCTGGTGGCTTGGCACTCTTCTCCAGCCCAGGCAGCTGGTGCAGCTCTTTTGGGTTCTCTTCCTCCTAATACAGAGAAAAAAAAAAATAAATCACTGCTTAAACTCCTTTTCAACCCAAACCACTTTATCGAGGAGTTTCTCCTCCCGTACTACTCCTCAGGGAAGAGCTAACAGGCGGGCAAGAGTGGCAGACGCTTTGAATTACACTCAGCTTCTCTCCTGTCTGGAGGAGCTTTGCTGTGGCTCGCTCCAGCCCAGTCGCTGGCAACAAATGAAGAACTCAGCTTCATTAAAATGATATAGCACAAACAGGAGTTTGAGTGTCGGACCTAGTGAGTAAGGGCAGCAAGAGCAAAGATAAAAGGAGGAATTTATCCTCCAGAGGAGGAGTATTAGGGGTGTTGATTTTTTAGTAATCACAAAGACAGAAGAAAGAATGGTGTTAAGAGGAGAAAGAGTGGAAAGAAAATGTTACTGTGATATTTTGAGACAAACAGTCTTGACTTTAAGCCATAACATTCTTTGTATAAATGCAAATGATGATACACAAAGCCATATGATACCTCAAGTTTGTTATGGGGATCACATCCTCCAAATACAGTGAGCAAATGTAGTAGGAAAAAATAAATCTCTTACTAATTTCCATATTCATTTAGGTATCAGTGAATGCCATTTGGAGGTGTTCTTCAAAGCGCCATTGTACGGCTGTCATCCATCCTGTGATGGGGCTGAGAAGGCTCACCTCTTAACAAGAAGAGTCAACCCCAGCATTAGCAACAGAGTTGGCTTATTCTTGCACAAACCCCAACTCCTTATAATAACGTTTGGCTCATCATCAGTTTTCTCGTACTTGTTCCTCTAAATACCATAATAGTGAATGATAAAACCTTGAACAGTAGCAGCACTTGGAAAACAAGTCTGATCTCAAAGTAAGTCTGTAGAGCCTCTGCCTTACTAGTTCACACAGAGAAGTTGTTCCAAGACCGCTTCAACTCCCCACCTTTAAGTGTTTTTCAGTAAATGCTGCTGACTCCGGCTGTGCGTGGGGGGGCTTCTCCCTGGGGAAAAAAACCTACGATTTAGTTATAGAGGAAAGCATGTCCACCTCTCCCCCGCCAAGCATTCCTATAGCCTCCTTTGCTTCGGCACCCCAAACCGTTGGGACAGCCTGACACTCACACCAGCCTCCCAATTTCAGCAATACTATTTATATTTACTGCTTCACCATGCCCGGCACCAAGTCCCCTCCTCCAGGACAGAGACAGACCAATACCTCTCCTTCACTTGTTCCACCTGTTGCTGCTCTACAAGGTTCTTCAGTTCCAAGACTTTCTTTCCTTTTCCCTTTCCTTCATCCTCTCTCCCTTTCTGCAGTGGTTCCTGCTGCTCAAATTCATCTTCCTCCTGAAGAAGAACGAAGAAAACCCTTCTAACCCTCCAGCTCAAGTGGGGGAAGATGGGAGGATATGCAGCGAATGCTTTGAGACAACCTGTGCTTGTTATATCTCATTCTTACCTCCCACGGCCTGCCCGCCAGTTGGGCACCCTCTCCCTTCTCCCCCCACAGGTAGGTACCCTTGTGTTCAAACCCAACATCAACTCTCTAGACAGAAATCTTGAAGCACGGACCCTAAAATCCCCACAGCAGGAGGCAGCAACCTTTCTCCGTCCCACCAGTCAGAACAGCGCACGGGTTCCCTGCTACTCCTTTCCTTTTCTACATGCAGGAGGCACCTGGAGTTGCTCTTACCACCCTCGGCACTTTCTGCTTCTGTGCATCAGCTTCCCCGTGCTTCTTCGACAGTTTTTTCCTGCTCCACTCCTCTGCCGCTTTCTCTTCCCGCCCTTGTGAGAGGCGCACCTGAGAAAGCCACACGCGTCTGCTCGGCCGCCCCCGAGGAGGCACCTCACAGCCTTGTCCGAGCGCAGGACGGGGACTGCTTCTGAAGTCTGAAGTCTGTGACACTCCAGGTCCTAACGAGACCCAGAACCCCCCACCCAGCAAGCAGCACACGTGCATTGGATTTAGCACCAACCTCGTGCAGCAGCGACTCCACCGCTTGCTACCGGCTGTGTGAAGAGACACCCATCTCCTGGGGTGACAGAAGAAAGGAGCAGAGACCATTACACAACCCCAGAATACATGTTTCCATCTTGTGATTCTCTGCAGAACAAGGGGATCTGGCATCTGATTTCCACTTTGCCTGCGGCACTGCTGTCGACTAACTGGACCGCAGCACGAACCGGGGATGTGAAAGCTGCCTGAGCCCCAGAGACACGGCTCCTTCGCCGGAGCTCTCTGTCCCGGCAGAAGCACCAGCATGTCCGCAGCAGACCAGCCTGGGCTGGGTGTGCTTTTGGCCGCTCAGGTTTTGGGAAAGGCTGAAAAGAGCACAATTCCTTTGCTTTCTAAGGCTGACCCTTTCCAAAGGTAACTCTAGTCCACCCTTCCAAACACGCATCCATCCTTCTCCCGGAGGCTGCTGGGGCTCCGGGTCAGCCAGGCGCAGCCCCCCTCCGTCCCACAGAACCCGCGAGGTTGTACAAAAGCACAGCACTGCCTGCACGCAGCCATCAACGGCCCATCCCCGCACGCTCCTCACCTTCTACCTGTCCCCAAAAGCAGGCCAGACAAGGCTTTAAAAACCAAACACGATACAAACACACAGAGCCAAGTCTACTAGTCACGAGCGTCCCTTGCGTGCCTGGTAGCTATTCTTTCCCACCACGTCCTTGCAGACCCAGCGAGTGCTGTGGTTTCGCTGTGTGTGATGTTTCGTGCGAGCAGCTCCCGCTGGCGGCGTTGCAAGCCGAGTAAGGCTGTCTCATCTGCAGGGCCTGCTCACAGGACAGTCAAGAGATGCTGCCACATTCCTTGAACGCAGAGCGCCATAAACACTGCGTGTCAGAACAGGAATGTTTAGGAACACTGCAGAGGTGTGGAGAACAAAAGCCTCCTCTTGTTAGACAGAGAATTTCAGTGTCTCTGATGCAGACTTACCCACCACCTGATTAGTCACCATCAGCAGCAACCCTGTGCTTGCACGTACCATGCCAGTGCCCTGTTTGCACCCTTTTGGTCTCGCAGCTCACCGGGATAGTGTCAGTGCACTGAGTGGTCCAAAGCTTGGTCAGCCTTCTTACCTTATCATCGTTCTGTAAGATCTTCTGCTCCATCCGCTTTTTCTTCTCTTCTTCCATTTGTTCCACCCGCTCCCGAGCCTGCAGCGCCTTCCTCAGGCGCTCTTCCCTCTTCCTGGGCAGTGTGCGTGAGAGAAGGGCTCGTTAGTTTTGTCTGCTCTAGCGCAGAGGGTGACGGGGGAACAGGGACTCGCCATGGTAATTGGGCAAAACAGTTATGCTGCCAGACTTGCTTTGGCTGAGCCGAGCCTCAGCTCACTCCTGGGTTAAGCTCAGACGTTATCCGGTGCTTTGCACCAGTGCAGTCCTTACTGCAGCGAGCCATGAACAGCAGCGCTCAGGCTGCCCAGGCCCCACCGCTTGCAAAGTGCTCCTTTCAAGTGGGAGGCACAAGGCACGGCACAGCAGTGCTGCCCGCCTGGCAGGGGAGGCCTCCAAAGCAATTCTGTGCTGAACCAGGCAAGGAGCAAGAGGTAAGAGACCCAACTCACTGCTTCATTTCTGCCTGCCGCCGTCTCTTCTCCTCCTCCACTTTCTTTTTCCTCTGTTCCTCAGCCTCCTGCTTCTTCCTGAGGCTTTCCAGTCTCTGCCGCTCCTTCTCCTGAAGGGAGATGAGTTCAGACTGTACGGATTGCCAGGGCCTGTTTCTTCCCTCAGGCTGCTCGTGCACAGTAGCTAGAGGCTAGGCAGCTGCCAAACAAAAAAGTCACTGCCAGAGTCATATTCACCCACACACCGGGATGGGAAGTGAATAGTAGGGAAGAAACAACACAGGTTTGGCAACAGTGCTTATTCAACTAATAAGAGCAGGAGAGTCATGGGCATAGGAGGGAAACACCTCAATCCCTCAGCAGTAGAGAGTATGTTTAGGCAGGGAACAGCACACTCCTGCTGTAGGTGACCACCCGTAGCAAGTCCTCCTTGCCGGGGACGGTGTTACCTACACCAGCAGCTGGCAGAACGGGGGAGAAGGCGCACAGTGCAAGTAGTCTTGTTAGAGGCCAAAAGGTTTCCTTGCAGTTCCCAGCCCCAGCAGAACACACCTGCAAAGAGATCCTGCCACCTCACCACTGGTGTGGCCAGTTTACTTATTTGGCCAGAGCGCTGCGTGGACGCCAGCGTGAGGGGAAAGAGCTGGCAGTGCCCGTGAGGCAAGCAGCACAGCCGCTATCACCTTCCAGCCCCCACGGTGAAGGGTGTCATTACTTACAACAAAGTCTCCCTGTAGACAAGAGACAAAAAAGCAATTAACCCCCCTTCACAGCACAGGCACCCCCTTCTCGGCTGCAGCTCCTCACCAGTACGTGGCAGAGAACCCGCCGCCTGACCCCACGCTGCCCGTCTTTCAGCCCTGCAGCAGCCAATTAGTCAAGACACAGGGGCAGACTCCTACTGCAAAGGGAGAAGCTTCCTACTTTCCTATGGCTCGACAGTCTCAGGATATAAAGTGTTTCTGCCGACTACAGAGAGAGCAGCTGAGGTTTCTCTGCATATGAGGAATGTTTGAGGATTGGCGCTAAAGACTCCCGGCCAGTAACAATGTGGGTGGACAGACTACACAATGGAACACCAACCAGTTTCCCTTCCCTGGGGAGGCTGAAGTAGAATTGCGGGGCCGGTTTGCTACGAGGACCTGCACCGGTCCATGGCAGCAGCCAGAACTAGGAAGACGTTTCTGTTTTTCTAAGCAAACAGTCCCTCCTGCCACTCCCCCAGACTTGATGCCCTCCTCCAGCCCTGCCAGGGAAGGCGGGACTCTGACACACCTTAAGATCAGGTCGGGTGGGAGTATTGCGTTTGATGAAGTTCTTTATGACACCCCCACGTCCTGTGGGCCCCGGGCTCGCGAGCAGCTGGTTTCGCTGCACAGCCTGCAGGAAGTTTTTCAATGGTCTAACAACCTATGGGGAGAAGACATAGGGAAGTCAGTACCCGCCCGGGAAAGGGAGGCAAAGGGCCATGGCACCCACACACCTTGCTAGCTGGAGAGGAAGAAGCTGGAGTCTGGTTTGCTGAACTCTTGTGCTTCTCATCCAAAGGGAAAAGGGCCTGACGCCCTGGCTGCTGCCCGTTCCACATCACGCCCATTGCTTGTTTGTAGCTTCTTGTCCTGATGGCGTTAGCAAGAGGCACGTTAGGTGACCGGGACGCTCCCCAATCTTGCCAGAACCATCCACTTGCTGTTACCCACTTCCCTCTGCCTCCTCGCTGCCACCAGAGCTCCCGGGACCTCAGTCAGCCCTGTGGCAGGCACACCAGCCAGGCGTGAATGGGGACAGGAAAGGCACACGACAACTTGCTGGGGGAACACCCCAGTTCCAGAGCAGTAATGTGCAACATCACTCTCGTTCCCTACTCGGAGTCCCAGCGCGCAAGAAGTCTCTGTTCTATCTGGTATTTACAGCACAAGACAGACAGGACCCCCGTGAGTTTGCAGCTAGCCAGGCTAGCTCACCCCACCGGCAGGGTTCCACGGGCTTTGTGGATACCTCGGATGCTCACAGATTTACCTGTGTTAGAAATGACCGTACTTGCATCCCCTAATTCCAGGGGAAAACGCAGGGGACAGCTTTACTGCACAATCGGGGCCCGATCCAGCAGCAGCCCCAAGGAGGGCTGCAGATCCTGACCCATCCAGGTGAGAAGAGGGGTTATCGTTACCCCCCTTCCCATCCGCTACCCACAGTAAATTCACCCTGGCAAAACCAGGACAGGAGACTGAGGGCAAAGCTAAAAGCAGCCGAAATCTCACGTGAAACACCAGTAATACAAGCAGTGAGGAAACAAGTCAGGTATTCCAGACACTTGCACAAGATAAAAATAAAGAGGTCAGTCACCTACTCACGTTGCCTCCTGAAACTACTCCCGCACCACCCCTTTATGAGCCACTCAGAGTCACAGCTAAGCTGAGTTAATTGTGCTAGCTTAGTCACCTTTGCTGCTTTGCGCATGAACTCATGCGTCTGCTTCCCCAGCCAGACCTGGGTCCCAGACCCAAAGAAGGCTCAAGAAGTAAAAGGAACTCCCAGAAGACAAGATTTGGCCAAAGAAGATTTGAGAACTATATTCGATGGGGGGGAAAAAACCACACTTTTAAACAAATTCCTTAAAAGGCCAGGCCCAAGTCCTTCCCGACCACTGGCTCATTCCTCCTCCTTGCAAATGCCTCATACCAGATGCGTGGGGGATTCTCCTGGGACTTGGCACAGTGGGGTTGTTCCTGGTTCTTGTTCTGGGGTCCGCCGTTTGGATTTACACAGCTCCCTGTGAAGAAACCTGTGGTCAGCACCACGTGCAAGGCATCCTGCAGGGCTCCGATTCTTGTCTCCAGCTCTCGTGCGCTCAGAGCCCTGCAGCACGGAACCAAACTGAGAACCCAGAAGCCTGGATGGCTACCCGGAACATCAGAGTGGTGTCCGTAGGCCGTGGAGCATGCTGTAGTACGCACAGACCCTTCTGAACAGCCACAGCCCGTCTCACCAAAAGGCCTCTAGCTACTCTTCCCTCCGCTCCAGCTGCTCAGCACATCCTACAGTTCCCAGAGGGGATAAACACAAAGCCTGAACCCGCCCTCTCCTTGCTTTGAGGAACAGCAAATAAACGGGGTCTGTAAACCCTCAGGTAACGGAACCCAGAGGAAAGGGATGTCAAGGCGCTCTAACAGAAGGTTACACTATGCAGACACCAGCTCTAAGAGCATTCTCCTTTCAAAGTGCCCCCACTCACTCATTATGTGGTCTGAAGTTGGACAGGACAGCATTTCGCTCAGGGCTTGGACACATTTACAGATGCCCTTGCTTATCTAATTGCATGTCTCGCCTCTTCAGGAGATCAGAACTTTACTTGAAAAATTACCTGGACTCATCAGACGTGTTTTTGTTTCAACACAAGTCCCAGATTTTCCACAAACCCTCATGTTCCACAATCCCTCCCCGATCTGTGCGTCTTTGGGGCTTCACGCAAGAAAAACGCAGCCAACTCGAAGTTACCTTCGCTGTTCCCTGCCTGTTGCTCAGGAGGAGGCAAGCGCTGTGCAGGAGGGCTGGCAGCTTCTGTACTTTTGCTTGAAATGAGGACATCTTCAGCAGTCTGCAGGGAAAGGAAACAAGCATTCTCTTTGCACGTTTGCTCCCAAGAACAAGGCCACCATGGACCTGCTGCCCTGGAAGAGCCAGTCACTTCCAACTGAATCCACCTGCCAGGCTAGGGTCTGCTCTCCTCTCAAGCAGAGCTGTGCTGCATGGACACCGACTGGCTCATTTCGGTAACAGGGGGTCTGCTCGTGAAAAAACAGCCTTGGCAGGAAGGACAATCGCCCAGCACTTCCCAGCCAGATCAGGAGCTTTACTGGACCTGGACTTCAAAATCGAAGTGCCTTGAGAATGACAGGCAGCTTCTATACACCTTGGAGACACCAGTTTTCAAACTACAGATATTCCAGTCCGGAAAGAGAATTTCCGGTAAAGTGTTTCAGGTTCATTAGGCACTTTAAGTACCATTACAGTACATTCACAGGAGGACAAGCAGAGAAGCTGCTGCAGCAGAGCACCCTCACGTGCTACGAGGCTGCTGCACACAGGCTGTGCCTTCCCCTACCCGCTAAGCTACCACCTGCGACCACCACACAACCCAGAGCAGAGCCCCCTCCCCGTTCCCGCTGACGCTTCCCAACCGCACCGGGGAGCTGCTCTGAAGCAGGGCCCACTCCTCTCTCCGCTGGGCTAGTTTGCACCTCAGCTGGCTCGCAGCACCACCACACAAGACGTTTCTGCCAGCTCAAAGGCGGGGATGGGTCTCTCTGTCCTGCTAGCAGCACAGGTTACGCTAGCTTGCTGCGTACATAGCCTCAGCGACCAAGGAAATCACATCAGCTTGAACTGCCCTCCTGACTTTTATAGCTCAAACCAGCCATGCGCCAGTCAGGCTAAGAACAGGCAGTCAATTACCAAGCCCAGCTGGCAGGCAAAGCCTGCTGACTCCTGGGAACGTGGCCGAGCACCTCCCAAAGCTCCATCCTGAAGAGACCTTATCAAGGTACAAAGTGTCTCTGCCCACCCGGAGCCAGAGTGCCAACCGGCTTAACCAGCTGCCTGGGCATTCGAAGGGCAGCACTGGCCAACTCCGCAGCACCTTCGCTGAGCTCGAAGGGACAGAACGACCCTTGGCCACACTCCTGCTTCCAGGGGCAATGCTCAGCAAAAGGGATCAACTCGGGCAAGATATCCAGACACAGTTTGTAGGTCGCTCCTTAGAACTTACCTTTTCACTTGGGGGATTCAGTTCCAGTCCAGGTCTGTAAAAGAATAGGTATTTTAAGTATTTCAACCCTCTGAAGTGCGAGTTACAGGCAACAGAAGTATGATGGAGCCAGCGTATGGGACCCCAAGGGAAGCGCAGATAAACCCACGTACATCCAGAGCACGAGCCTGTTCCAGCCAGGCCAGGCAGAGGTGGAGCTGGGGTTTCTTCTGATGGGCCGTTCCATCGCATTACTGCACAACACACTGATGAGCTTTGACCCCTCCTGCAGAGCTTCCACAGAGCAGGTAAAAAGGAAGCTCCCGAGCCTCAGGCTGAGCTTTACCTGCCCACCTTTCAGATCAGACCACAGCTGACTGACCTCCAGCACCACCAGGCATTCGCAGGCTGGTTCCAGCCAGGAATCCCAGGACTCGACTCATACGATGGCAGCCAACGGCTGGCAGCCCCCCAGGCCTTACGGCGCAGGCTGCACCCCACCCTGGCGCAGCCATTAACCTCACCGTGCTCTGAACGGACTTCTGCGAAGGAAGGGCTGTGCCTGAACAGCACAAACTGAAATATCAACCAGCCCCACGTGACATCACCTAAACAGTCCGTTACAAAACCAGCCCTACATCTGTAATGTAAAAGTGACCCATATAGGTTCCTGGCAGGGTTTTCTGTGGTTTCTGACCCCCTGCTTTACATGGTAGCCTCACCTCACGCTGCTGGTCGCCTCTTCTTCCACAAAAACCTCCAAGGAGCTTTGACCTGGAGGAGAAAAACATAAGCTAGCTTGGAGATTTCATCCTGAGGCTTCCCAAGA